ATCTATCTCTTTTAGAAGAAGTCTAACTTCTTTGATACTCATATTTCCATCTTTAGTTATAAAAGTATTACCATAAAAAGAGAGATAAACTATTGACACCTGAATGTGCTTTAAATTGATATATATTTTATTTTAATTACAAATTAAAATGCCCAAAAAATACTAACAATGATAATATGGTTATTACAATTGATGGTGATGGAAATGTGGGAAGTGATGATGATGATGAAACAATTAGAATAGAAAGTGGTGAAGAAGAATGCAATGATAAAAAAAAAATGCTGATGTGCATGAAATTTTGAAATTTCATACAATTTCCCATCCTTGAGTTTTATGAAGAGGAAATTGATTCCCTGGTGCTCTCTTACCATAAACTTTAAAATAAGACGTTTCTCCTCAAACAATAACCTTGCTTATGCTAGCCAAGGTAGGAAAAGTCACCTCAACATTCTCTTCGTCAAAATTTTCGTCACTATTCCAATAGTTCCATTGCATATTTTTTCATCAAATAGAATAAGCAGCAAGAGAGAACTTTTTTCGAAGAAAGCTTCGACAATTCCTTCAACAATAATGTTTTTTTCACACTGTCAAAAAAGGCGTGTTTCAATATTAATTAAAAATAATAATGAATTTAATTTCACATTTTCAAAAAGGCATGTCGTTGTTTTTTAATATTAGTCAGAAAATCAATTCTGTTTCTCTTCACATTTTCAAAAAAGACAAGAATCTTTTCAAAAAAGCCTGGTTAATTCCTTTAATTAATAATAATAATAACGAATTAATTCCAAAATTCTTGTTAATATTTTTAGTATCTTTTTCAAAAAAAAGCTCAATTGATTTTTCTTTAACAATTGTGGGTTAATTCCAAATTTTTTAGTGGCGAGGAAAAATATTTCTTCACATTTTTTGGAAGGTTTGATTTTAATAACCTTTGAACGTTTTAAAAAAATTGGGAGAGTTATCAGATCAATGATCGAAAGGTTTATGCATCGCAATCAATTTTGTTAAATTAAAAAAAAAGAAATAAAGTTAATGTTATTTATAGTTGAACGATTTGTCACATTAAACGATTGGGAAGTGTATTTTCCGAAATTTTTTGGTGATCAACGTCGGAAATTCTATAATAAAA